ATCTAGTCCATGAACACCTAGGTGTAACTCTAGTTACAGAATTTATAACCACCATACTCATCTTTAGCCTTACTTGGTACAACTACTCCATGAACAACTAGATTTAACTCCAGTTACCGAATTTATAACCACCATACTCATCTTTAGCCTTTCTTGGTACAACTACTCCACGAACACCTAGGTGTAACTCTAGTTACTGAATTTATAACCATGGAACCAAGTAAGACTAAAGACGAGTAGGTTGGATATAAATTCAGTAACTAGACTTACACCTAGGTGTTCATGGATCCGTTTTACCAAGTAAGGCTAAAGACGAGTATGTTGGTTATAAATTCAGTAACTAGATTTACACATAGGTGTTCATGGAGTAGTTGTACCATGTAAGGCTAAAGACGAGTATGTTGGATATAAATTAAGTAACAGGAGTTAAATCTAGTTGTTCATGGAGTAGTTGTACCAAGTAAGGCTAAAGATGAGTATGGTGGTTATAAATTCTGTAACTAGAGTTACACCTAGGTGTTCAAGGATTTGTTTTACCAAATAACGCTAAAGATGAGTATGGGGTTACACATTCGGTGACTAGAGTTACATCTAGGTCTTCATGGAGTAGTTGTACCAAGTAATTCTAAAGATGAGTATGGTTGTTATTAATTCGGAAACTAGAGTTACACCTACTTGTTCATGGAGTAGTTGTACAAAGTAAGGCTAAAGATGAATATGATGGTTATAAATTCGGTAACTAGAGTTACACATAGGTGTTCATGGAGTACTAGAGTTACACCTAGGTGTTCATGGAGTAGGGTTATAAATTCGGTAACTAAAGATGAGTATGGTGGTTATAAATTCTGCAACTAGAGTTACACCTAGGTGTTTATGTAGTTGTTGTACCAAGTACGGATAAAGATTAGTATGGTGGAGGAGTTTTATCAAGTAAGGCTAAAGATGAGTATGGTGGTTATAAATTCGGTAACTAGAGTTACAGCTAGGTTTTCATGGAATAGTGGAACCAAGTAAGGCTAAAGATGAGTATTGTGGTTATAAGTTGGGTTACTAGAGTTACACCTAGGTGTTCCTGGAATTCTTGTATCAAGTAAGGCTAAAGATGAGTATGGTGGTTATAAATTCGGTAACTAGAGTTAAACCTAGGTGTTCATGGAGTAGTTGTACCAAGTAAGGTTAAAGATGAGAATTGTGGTTATAAATTCGGTAACTAGAGTTACACCTAGGTGTTCATGGAGTAGTTGTACCAAGTAAGGATGAACACTTACGTGTAACTCTAGTTATCGAATTTATAACC